ACAATAGGGTACTATAGGACAAACTTCTGCAAAGCCCTTTTCGCTAACATTTCTAGCTCAAGCACTAATTTATCAGTCATATTAACATAGTGGTATTTTCAGAAGTTTGTGCCATTCCACAGGAAGTTCATAATGTTTTCAATAAACAATATTAAAAATCAGGTATTAGGAGAATATGTTAGCAATTTCTAAAAATGATACAAATATTTCACTCATTTGGTTATTTGAAGCTTAAAAAGGTATTTTCTGTTATTGGGACTGGATTCAGAAATGATGTATGTGTGCATACAAACACATATATACAAAAATACAGTACACACATACATATTTTCCTAAATCCTGTCTTCATAACAGAAAATTAACCTTAAAAACATGGTATTTAACAAAACCAAACAAAATCAATTAAAAAAAAACTGCAGTGTTATTGAAATATTATATAGTTAAGGACATTCACTATATTAAGGAAATAGAGAATATTTCATAAATCGGGCAAGTTTTTAAAATGCAATAAATCAGCCAAAGCTGCATAAAAAATCAAAACTTTTGTTTCATTTACTTCTATATACACTCCACTTTAATGGGAGAAAATGACATTTGATACTTGTTCATTTCCACTTTCTCAGCAAGCAGTTACAGTTGGTAACTTCGCAAGGACACTTTCACATGGCCCAATGGATTTCTCTCTTTCTGTTTGTCTTATTCATGTAAAATCTTGAAACAGACTTAACACGATAAAATGAAGTTGCAAGTTGCCACAAAACCTTTTAATATATTTTTAGTTGCTGCCATCCAAGGTCAAACATTCACTGTCACCAAAGTGAAATCCCACACCCAAGGAACTTTTTATAAAGCAAACTCATGCTTTTACAGAATGCATGAAAGGTAACTCTGTCCTGCTGAAATAACATATTTGCAGTATCCATTTCATCCACAGCACATCAGAAACAATCAGTGACTACATCACAATAACTATCATCATTTACCACAACTGCAATTTCAATTCATCTCTTCAAAAAAAGAATGGTATGATCATCTCTTGTTCCCAAACTACACCAAATATTGGTTCCTACAAAATGCAGACTCCAAATATGCCAATTTTGTTTGTTGACAAACCTATATAAATGTAAAATGTGTTTTGTCACTGAACATTATTATTTTATAAAAACTGCCATCCTCTATTTGTTTCATCAAAATTGACTTGGAGAATATTTTATATTTCTGATGATCTACTGATTTAAGTTGTTCCATCAAGTGCATCTTGTATGGGTGTACATACATAACTTCTGTCAATACTGGCTGCACTGAGGATATCAACATTCCCAACTGTTGTAAGTAACAATATAGCAACTTCTTTAATGTACATTCATACTGCCCTGCACCACTGTAATGTTTCATTCCATCTGATTCATTTCGTCTGGGTGACTTTCTATCAAACTTTATCAACTGTATAACTGTTGCTTTACCAGAGGCATTGCTAGATCTAAGATAATGCAATGTTTACAAAAGTCTTTGCATAGCACTTTACATCTTTGTAAAACAGAGTTTCCACAATTATCCTTAGTTATATTAACACATTTATCCTTAGTTAAGCTTTCCCTGGTACAAAAAACTTCCACACAGATCAAAACCTGTGCTCTCTATAGAAGACATTAGGTTCACGAACTATTCTTATTGATATACTACACAATTTAAAATGTAATACTTAGTATGAGCGAAGTAAGAACAAGACAGATAATATTAAAATAGTAATACTAGAAAAAATTAGAAATTGTAGAAACTGTGCAACTTTACTATTGGGGGGGGAAACATTTTAGATAACTCACATAATCTTAAGTTCATGTTTAGTCTAACACATTCTGTTACAAAGATGGTGGGACCCTAACTAATTCTATATTGCAGAACAGTTTACAGCAAAATAACGGTGCTACTTTGGTAGATGGTTGCATGGATTTTGGCAATTTTTTTTCTGGCGAGCAATACGATTTATAGTAAACCAATTGCTGGACAAGTTACTTATGGTAACCGATACTTTGCTGTCATTTTATTTTTTAAATGATGTGTTTTATTATGCATAAATTCAGTGTTTTAAATATTAATTATAGCTTCTAAATATTAAAAATCAATTTCATTTTGCATTTTTATTTGAAATAAAAACTTTATTGTTTATGATATTTTATATAATTTTATGTTGTGGATGACGTAATCAATGACATCACCTTACTTTAAAAGCAATTGGGGTACTTTTCCGTTTTGCCGGGGGAATAAAGTCTCCAATAATGGTACAACCGATGCCGAAAGGAATATCCTCGCTGGTAACATTTTACGTCTTATTTTCAAAACAAATCGCAGCCATTTCTTAGCAGATTGATTGTTTTCTTTCAATACTGGAATACAGTTACATAGAATTTTTATCAGATAGTTCAAATTTATGCCCTAAGGCCATTCGCGGGCCGTAATTAAGTCAATTAGGATGCAATCACACCGTCACCCGATGGGGAAAATATAGAAAAGGCAAGTGTTAAATTCATCAGTTCTAATGAGAATGCACTAGCGAAGTAAAGCACTGCGGTTTTACATAATTTCTGAGTAAACTATTCGTAAGAATTGAAATAATTCTTGCATTTAAACTTGTATTCCAAATTAAGATTTAACCTGAAATTAATGCAGATAATTAGATTTTTGTAGCGTAGTTTACGTGAGATTGGGTTCACGTGATATGATCCACTTGGGGCCACGTGATATGAACTGGCGAATTAGGATGTTTTACCATGAAAGCATACTAAATTCTTAAATTGTCTTTTTAAAATTTATTGGCTTTTTTAAAACTTTTAAACATTAAAAAAAATAAATAAAAAACTCAAGTAAAATTTCTTAGAACTAACATTTGTCTAAATTTTTTATGTGTATACTGTGTGTTGTCGGCAATAAAGTCTGCTTGCCGAGATTTGCGCCGGTGAAACAGAAAAGTACCGCAATTGGTTTTAATATCTATAAATTTAATCTAATGTTTTAAACATTATTTATGGCTGTTAAATATTAAAATACAATTTTGCATTTTTTAAAAATGATTTTATTATGATTATTTAAATGATTTTAATTTTTATGCATGATATAATCAGCTTCCTTATTGGTTACTGAAATTTGTGCATTGCCGCACCATTTTAAAATTTTATATTCCATCTCTTTGATTCCTTAGATTTCAACGAATGGAATGTCCGTTAAAGATGAATATTGTTATTGTAATTACCAAGATTAGTAGAATCAAAAAATTGTCCTTTGAGACCTTATTTTGGCCAATGGCTTCTAATTAAAGATTTATTTATAAATTGTTACAAGGGTCACAGGAAATTTATTTTAATTTTGGAGAAAACCTCACTAATTGCTTCTTCAATGAATTGCAAAGATGTGGATCACAGATGAAGATTTGAAAAAGAGCCATTCTGAGATGGCTATATGGTATTGGTCACAGTGAAAGAATAACACTGTAACGGTAAAAAAAGTATTAGACATTTCTTTTTTACCCCTTTTTTTTCTAAATAAGTCTGATTTTTTTTTGGTACTATGAATGTGAGCACTAAAATACTAAAAAAATGTAGTATATATTTTTCTTTACTTTATTTGTATATTCATTTTATTAAAAAATTAATACCTGTTTTAAAATTGCGAATATTTATGCCACTTTTTAAATGGGAAATACTATATCTACAACTTTTTTAAGTATTGAGGAAGTAATTTAAATTCGTTAAACAGGGTTATGATGTTTTTAATTTGATATTCAATTTAGGTAATATTTTAATCCAATTAAATGTTGCCGCAGTGTTTTTATACTATTTCTTTGCTATATGAAAGTAATAATTTAACCTTACTTTAGTATTTCATACTCTTAGCAAATGTATTTATTTACATTTGAAAGCCATCTTAAAAAACAAAGTTTTCAACAAAAAATTAATCTATTATTTTTAAGGATGTGTATTATTTTAAAGTTTCGACTACTTTGCTAAGCGTAAAATACGTAAAAACAGCGTTTTTCAAGATGGCTGGCAATTGCAAAAACTGCACCAACAATTGCGCTAATGTAAATCGCCAAAAATCCGTGCAACCGTCTACCAAAGTAACAAAAGTAATTCCTAGTAAAGTAACAAATACACAACAAATCATGTTTTCTCAACTAATGATAATATTGGTACTTTTGCATTTTGCCGGTTAAAACCGATGCCAAACTTAATATACTCGCTGGTAACCTTTTACGCCTCAATTTTTAAAACGAGACGCAGCCATTTCTTATCAGATTGATTTTTTCTTTCAATACTAGCATACAATTACATATAATTTTTACTAGATAGTTGAATTTTATGCCCTAAGGCCATTCGCAGTAATTAAGTCAATTAGGATGCAACCATATAGCTCATCCGAAGGCGAAAACATAGAAAAGGCAAAGTCTAGGGGTTAAGTTCATCAATTGATGAGAATGCACTAACAATGTAAAGCACTGCAATTTTACATAATTTCTGAGTAAGCTATTCGTACGAATTGAAATAATTCTTGCATTTAAACTTGTATTCCATATTAAGATTTAACTTTAAATTAATGTAGGTAATTACTGAGAGAATTATACTTTTGTAGTGTAGTTTACGTGAGATTGGGATCACGTGATATGAACCGGTGAATTAAAATGTTGTACCATGAAAGCATAGTAAATTCTTAAATGAATGTCTTTTTATAAAATTATTGTCTTTTTAAAAATCTTAAATTATATTAAAATGTTTATGCCTTCAAAAGAAAAAACTCTTTGAACTAACATTTTTTATATGTGTATTGTGTGTTGTCGCCAACAAAGTCTTCTTGACGAGATTTAACGGAAAAGTACCATAATTTTTAATACAAAATATAAAACTAATCTGCTATCATACACAAGCTAATATATATAATAAATTCATAAAGAACTATTATATATTTATTAAATTAACAAGCTTTAACATATCACCAAAAAACAAACATACCTTCACATAGGTCTCATCGAGTTCAATAGCTTTTGAAGCATCTCTCAAAGCATAACCAAAACATTCAGTTTTTAAATATGCAAAACTACGATTTCCATAGTATGCTCCTACATTAGGATTGTGCTCAATGGCTTGAGTATACATTTCTATAGCTTTATCAAATTCTTTATCTGAAATAATAGAAATCGCAAATAAACAAAAAAATTCACATTATCTGACTATATATAAATATATTTATACAAGTTACATATAAATATATAATAATAATAAAATTTTAATTTTTAACAACCCCTTAACTCTTCTTAATTCATCTATTTCCTTTTCCATTTTAAAAACAGTAATCAATTACAAAAAATAACTCTAAATTGCATCATTCCAAAATTAATCCTTCTCACTTGATTCTTACAAAACACCCATGATGCAATCCCTCATCACTTACATTACACCTCAACCAATAATTTTCAATTTTGCAAACTGAAAACATCAATCAAAATGGAGTAAAAATCTATCTTTACCTAACTCTTCTCTTGGCCATATTACATTTGCTTCCACTTTTCTCTCTTGCTAGCTATACTGCTGTTATTGCTTACCTTAACAGTGCAAAATTTGTTTGAAAACAATGTGTACTTAGTGTGGCAATTCAGTTATAAAAATTTTATTTGCTTGCACTAAAAGTAGTTTTGTCAAAAGAAAATTTTTGCACGATCTCTAATCACCAAGCTTTACTATTTCATGATGTTTTTCGCAGTGTCATTAATTTCTGAATTACTGAGTTTTTATGGGAAGCAATTTTTTTTCCTCTGCAAGAAAACAATTTTCTTATATCACATAAATCTTTTCTGAATTAGGTATTAGCCATTTTGACTTCTTTCTAGTAACAGCACGATTTCACGCTTATTAAAAATTCTGATCTTTGCTTATTAAAGAATAGTTTAAGTTACTCTTGACATCCTCATTTGAAGCAAATGCTTTACTGCTTAAAATTTTTTATAAAAATTGTAAAGTAATAATCCCAGGGTGCCAAATCTGGTGAATACGATGGGTGTGGTAGCATATCTCAGTGAAGCTGTAGCACCTTTTGACAATAACAAAGTTGTGTGATTGTGTGACCCTGTCAACATTGTGAAACTGTATGATAAGGGGGAAAGGGGAAAAAAAAAAAAAAAAACTTGAAATTTCAACAAACAGAAAGCATGCTTTTATTTTATTCTTATCAGCATCTGAAGTGCTTTGACCCAGCTTATTTCTTCTATTTCACGACTGCTTGCATTCAATATTGTTCCAAACAATCCATTTCTCATTAGCAAATCACTTTCTTGACACTTGAAAAACACATCTGAGATGTTAATGCAATGGAGTAATCCCTTTCTTAAAGATTATGCGGAACCCATATATCAAGCTTTGAAATGAAACCAAGTCATTTCACGAGATCATTACTAGTTGAATTTTGGCAATTTGCTTTAAAAAAATCAGACATGTTACGAGGTTCTTCTTCATTCTATCTATATAGTCTAGCTTTCTTTAAAAAAAAATTCAGTTGATCTTTACATTATGGTAACTTGGCGTTTTTTTGGCGACCAACTCTCCTACAGCAACCCTCTATTTTTTTTTTCCCGCCGCCATTTTGTCTTCCGAAGTAAAGACAGTTCTTTCTTTTTATCTACACTTCTTCCAAAAAATCTAAGCGATTAACTTATGCTAGAAATTTTATCTAACACAAACTGCTAATCATGACAAATATTTAAGCGAAATTGGGAAAAGTGCACAATCCATCCTTACGCATTTTTTCAAAATAACACATACACATAAACCACATACAGCAACTTATTTTTACTTAAAAAAATCCACAATTACACAAAAATGGCATGCGCACACTCTTCACTAATCCAGTACACTCTTTTTTCTTAATTATAAAAATTTCACGAAAATACATGATAATTTTCTAATTTAAACCCGGTAAAAAGAACATATATGAAATTCCGTATTTGCGCGTATAGTCCGCGGACTATCTTTAAAATGCGAATTTTGAAGCGCGGACTATCCACCGTGCGGATAATACGCTGGGTTTTCACGGTTTAAAATTGTGAAATTTAAAAACACGCGTCGTGACTGCCGATAATATAAAAAAAAGCATGAGATTCCAAGTATCCTTCGCACTGCTTAGCACAACTGCCGGGAGGGGGAAAAGTAGTGATGCGTAAACTCGGTTTTTAGCACAGCCGACTGTATATACTTATAGAGTTGCTGTGGTTTTTAGGAGACATAACAGTACCTGGAGCAAAGAGAGATTCTTTGCCTGGAGTACAAAAAAAGCGTGATTCGTTTACTATAGCGTGGTTGGCAACACCGAGTGAGTGGGTCGAGGTCACATTTCATTACCACTTATCACGAGGATAGCACATTGCACAGTATTTGTTTTCGTATTTTGTCTTCTCTTCGCTAACGTTGTGAAACATCGCCGGAGATTTCCTGCGAGAGGTAGTTGAGAAAACTGAAAAAATGGAAATAGAGAAGCGGGCCTTATGGGTAATCCTAGTATCCGGTGCACACGGGATTTGACTACTTTTGGCACTTATGATGAGCAGTAAAAACAGGACAAACACGATGAGTATTAAGGTATTCAAAGAAAATATATAGTTAAACATAGTATATACTATGTATATCTACTATGTATATATATATACTATGCGTGTATAGTATATATAAGACGTTCTTGGATCATTTTTTGTGTTGGCGATAATTTTCAAAGTCCGCCAAGGCTGCATTGTATACTAGGATTTTACTCCGTTATTTGAAGTGGACAAGAAAGCGGTGAGAAATTTGCGCAAACAAAAGGATGTGTTTAAAAAGCATGGGAATATTGCCGTATTAAAAAAACGTAATTTCGGACGTATAGTCCGCGGACTATCCGGTGGTGCGTACTATACGTGCGAAATTACGGTACCTGATCGTGAAAAAGTTTATACCCTTTCCAAATATGAACATTTCCACATATAAAATAAATAAAATATTCACAAACTTTTACCTCTAAATCATCTATTATATTATACACGTCACCAACGAATTCATACTGCAAGCATTACAAATACTTACTGTCAAATATTTAAATTATTTCCATGCACGTTTACTTCAACTTAAACGTATACCAAATCCCTACAAACATAAAATTCACAAAATAACTATCATTTAATTAAAATATCACTAAACCATGTACACATCGACTTATTTTTACTTAAAAAAACATCCCAGAATTACACAAAAATGGCATTGCGCACACTCTTCACTATATCCATGTACACTTCTTTTTTCTCATAAATTAGAAAAATTTCACGAGAATGCATAACAATTTTCTGAATCTTTAAACCCGGTAAAAAGAACATATATGAAATTACCTGATCGCGAAAAAGTATATACCCTTTCCAAATATGAACATTTCCCCGTATAAAATAAATAAAATATCCAAAAACTTTTACCTTTACATTATCTATTATATAACAAACGTCACTAACTAATTCATACCGCAAACATTACAAATACTTAAGTGTCAAATATTTAAATTATTTCCATGCACGTTTACGCAAATTACTTTACTTCCACCTTACATTTAGAACAATGCATAAAAAATAATATCCTCAAATAATTAAAAATACTAACTTACCTATTATTCTTCAGAATCTTGATTACGTGTCCGATAAACTTTTCTATTCTGTTTCAGGATCTTTAAAATCATACTTATAGTTCACACCAAGGTACCAGGTAAAATAAATAACTTAATAAAACATCTTTACTTCTATCTTGCACAACCTTAAAGATACACTTATTACTACCCCTTTCAATCCCACTAAATACCCATTTCGAATTCACTTAAGTTAGGGCCATGGGATCCAAAAATTAATGAACACTGTTTTACACAACGCAGAATAAAGCCAAATACAAAATTTCCAGATTTTTTCCCGATTTCTCCCCTTTTCCGATTAAAGAACCGTAATTCATCCATTAATATCACATGACATATCCCATGATCTCTCATTTCCCTCACACAAAATAATGCATAATCGGAACTGAGTACTGCTCGCATTATTACCAAAGTCCCAGGTAGTAACCTTTATCGCCTCCAAAATGTCGCCAAACTACCAGTTACCATGTTCTAAAGATCAGCCAAAATTTCTATTCCCATTTTCATCAATCTGCATTTTTTTAATTTTGCATTTTAAAATGTTTTCTTTAGTTATATATAATTTAATAGTATATAATGCAGTATTTTAATTCAAATATTTATTAGCACAACCACCTTTGAACAGGCTGGTTGCTATGGTTTGATTTTGAATAAGTACGAATGTCAGAAGGGTAAAAATGGTCCGAAATTAGTTGAAAGAAAAGATGCAACAGATTTGTGTGAATGGAGGTGTCGTGTGTCTGGTCTTTCTAAGCACGAGGTCAGAAGGAATATGAGAAGGGGCTCTTGGCTTTCCGAGGGATGAATACTTGCAAGTCTGATCCTTCAACTAACATATTTGTGGGGTCAGAAATGCACGAATCAGTTTATTATGGATCAGCTGCATGTGAGTGACCACACTATGGTAGACAGGAAGATGTTTTATAGAGGTGTGTGCGGAGATGTAATTGTGAGAGAATGACGTACTTGGAGGGCCCGGAAGTGTGGTTGAAACTGATGAAAGTAAACTCGGTAAAAGAAAATATAATCGTGAAAAGGCATTGAAGGTAAATGGGTGTTTGGAAGTATTAAAAGGGGAATGAATAATTTTTTTTTTTTTTCTTTTTTTTTTTGTGGGGTTGAAGAGCGAATGAATGAATGCCTGTTTAGGATTATCAAGGAAAATATTTTGCCTGGATCTATTATTATTTCAGACTGTTGGAAATCGTATGATTGCCTCAGTGATGACAGATTCTTGCATTTTTATATAAATCACAGTCTCGTTGTTATCATGGATCCTGAGACAGCTGCTCTACTAATTCAATTGAGGGCCCATGGAGTGTCAGAAAGGTGCAAAACTAGATGTTACAGCAGTCCCACATACAAATTTCAATATTCTACAGCTAACCATTTTTGAGTGATGCAAAAAATTAAAAAAAAAACCTTTGAGCAAAGTGTACTTTTGGCAATTGCTAAAAAAAGGGAGATGTACAACTAGATGTTATACCAGGCCAATATACAAAATTTCAATGATCTCTGGCTCATCGTTTTTCAATTCTGCAATAAACATATGTATGTACAGATGTCATTAAAAATTTTGTTTTGGAATAGTCCTTTATTCTGTCCGTATAAACAGACGATACACACACAAAAAAAAGCTAATAAGGATTCGGGAAAAGCTAACATGAATGGTTCTACTGAGTTCTGAAATATTTCACGATTAAAATACTTCCTTTACTTTGTATACAGAAGTAAAAATAATTAACATTTGAGACTGCATGAAATCAATTAAGTATTTTCTACATTAGAGTCTGGAAATTTAAAAAGAAAAATGGCCATAACATACGACCTTAAAAATGGATTATAGTGATGTAATATGAAAAGTTATGATAAGCAATTTAAGTTTTTTTATATGCTATATCCATAATTTGTATCTATTATCTAATTAAACAGTTCTGTTCATCTTAATTTCTACTGGAATGATTGGTGATATCTCCATTAACTTTCATGTTTGGTGGGATTTCTAAATATTCAACATTGAGATATAATAATGCTTGCTCTAGGAATGTTTATCTCTAAGAATCAAAATGCATGACTTCTTCACATGACACATATATTAAACAGTCAATACTATACAGATAAAGGAGCTTCAGGACCTCAATGACAGAGTGCTTCCCATAAAAACCAGTTGCATTACCATTTTAAATATGCATTAAGAATATGTTAATGAACAAAGACTGTACAAAAATAAAAAGTACATTAATGTAAAAATTTTCAATACATAAAAGAGGTAACTAATGCAACAGATACTTAAATTTCATTTTAAAGAAACAATCGAAAATACCAATTGTAAACACAATTTTTGAATAAATTAGAAGTGCATGAAAATATGTTTACATCAAAGTACAAATTGCAAATATGAATGTGAAAAATGAAGTAATTTTAATAGAAAGTAATATTTTTCGTAAAAAATTATAAAGTTAAAAGCAACAGAAGAAATATGATTTTAAAACTCGATCAAAAATACGATATACAAATTAATAAGAAATATAAACTACAAATTTCTATGCAAAATTAGAAATAAATAAATTATTTCAAGGATTTTCGGCAAAAGCACAAAACCGTATCAGAATTACAGTCTGCTCGACATGCCGGTTACCTAACAAAATTGTAAATGCTCACTTTTGAAATGTTCATTTGCTTTCTCTTTTAATTCCTCCGCTTTCTTTTTCGCATCATCTGTTACAGACGTCATTGTATAAATATACCTATTTAATGTAATAAATTTACTTCACAGTAATTGCTAAAAGGAAATTATATCAAAATCCACCACATGCGAGAGTAACTGCATGCCATATTCACCCTTACCATTGCCATTCTTAGCGAATACAATTTATAAACCTAATAAAAGTTACTCTGCGACTCAAAAATGCATATATTATATTTAATAAATTAAAAAGAATATTAGTATCAGGCATAATAAGATGTAATGAGAGGCTCTTTGCATTCTAGAACTAATATTGAAAGATCGGAAGTTCGGTCTGAAAGTTTCTGAGTGGTTTGTGATTTTATCTTCACTACTTAAAATTAGTGGTCATAAAAAAAAAAAAAAAAAAAAAGTTCTCAATTCTCTGGAATGCAGAAATAAAATTTTATCTCTTATTATGACATTAAATTTAAAGCATTTTTATAGTAAATTTTACATAATATTATATTTTACGTATTGTTGTTATTCCTTCAGGAGTTAATTTGATGAGACGTTGTGTAGCTTAGATTACTCAAGTGAACTCACCTTTGTTAGTGATTTGCTTTCTGAGACACAATAGCTCGTACGCACGGCAGAAAATATGGAGATCTCGTTACTGATATGCTTTCAACCCAAATTTTTTTTACGATACGAAGATGAAGAATTCCAATACGAAGATGATATCAATCTTCCTAATGCGAAGATGATATAATAATATCTTTCATATTATATATTTGCAATGCTTAAGTAGCTCAGGTCGTAAGTACTTTTTCTACCACTTATTGTTAAAAGATTCGAAAATAACTATGGATATAATATGTAAAAACTCTTTAATTGCAGATATTTACAAAATTTAGAAACAGAATGAAAGAGATTCTAAGAATAATTTTGGGCAGAAAAAGTCTTGACTATAAAGAGTTGGAAACTACTTTATGTGACTGCAAAGCTACAATAAACTCTAGGCCACTTACCTATATTGAAGACAATTCGGAAGGTCTGAAGGCATCATTAACTCCCGCTGCATATTCTTAGCAGTGAAACAAACGGGAGTTAATGGATTGAGAACTTCAGAAAAGATATTACGGAGAAATTAAGATTGAATCCTGTAAATCAAGGAATGATGAAACATGGACTTTTTGGTGGACAGTGAAACTAAACAAGAGTCCCACAATGCCTATAATGTTACATTACAAAGCTTGTGTTCAAATTTCAAGTACACTATTTCAGTTTTGGATAAAAAGATGATCTGTGGTACAATTCCACATGTAGAGGATACTGATATTTATCCAATTTTGAAAAAGAAAAATATATGTTTAAGTGATAAAGGAGAATATGTGCCTGAAATAGGTTTATTAATAGGTGCAGATTATCTTGGCCCATTACTGAAGGGGAGAATTGAGCCAATTGATAATAACTTGGCAGCTATTAAAACAAAACTTGGATTGATGCTTCGGGGTAAACAAAGAAATTACTCAAAATTTTTGGAGAGTATTGTATATGCGGCTAATTTAGATTTGACGGAATTATGAAGCCTAGATGTCACCGGTATAAGATGTCTCGCAGAAGGAAAGGCAAGTAACCGATGAAGGAACAGTAGATTTTTTCCGTAAAACTATTAAAGAAATGAAGACAAAAGATATGAAATATGTTTGCCAGAGTTCTCTACGTCGAACACCGGAGGGGGGAAGCAAGGCAGATGAAAAATGAGCATTGCCTTTGCCGGGAATCGAACCACGGACATCTCGAATTCGCGTCGAGCGTGCCGACCACCACACCGCGAAGGTATGCTAAGAAGGCAAAAGAAATATCTTACATACTCCCCCTTTTAAAGGGCTACTGGGGATTAGGAGACCCAATCGCCAAATAATGGTGGTGAAGAAACATCATTCACCACCTTTTAGTTCAGGCGCCACTTTAGAGACATTAGGTTATTTGGAAGCAAGAGGCATGAAAAATGAGCAATGCCCTCGCCGGGACGCATATAAGCATTCTGTACCGCATCACGCTCATAGGGAAAAATATATTCTCGGGATTGGGTATGGCTTCCGATGAGATCATTTCCTCTACGCTTAGGAAGCTTTTGCTTTGACTCGAGAGTACATCTCCATACCATTTGTTTACATTTTGATAGCAGTATCGAAAAATTATTACTGTCAATGACGTGCGCTGCATTTTTGATGCCACGAGATTACACTTCTTACGGCATTGTAGTGTGGCGAATTAAATTTAAAAATTGTATTGAATTTTTACCCTAGAGAGAAAAAGTATTATTTCTTCTAGTGTGCTAAATCCGTAAATGTGTATTAATATTAAGTGCAGAGATTTTTAATAAATGTATTCCTAATTTAAAACCGTTCATAATAAACGTGGGGTGATTATTAATTCATTACTTCATACTCATTATATACCCATTCTCTGCAGATGGAATCTCCGAAAATACGAGACAATTCAGTTTTCTCAGCTAGCAAAAATGTTGTGAGTTAACATAATACACAGTAAATTCACTCAAGTTGTAGTTAGTCAGGAAGAGTAAAATTTATTTTTGAAGTTAGACTACTATAGATTTGGTTAGAGAAATAAAGATACATATGTTTAAATTGAATGATATTACTTTATGAATATTGTTCATTTTTAATGTGCAATATCTTTCGTACTTTTGTGTAAAAATAGTGTTTTAACAGAAAAGGAAGCTCCTTTCTTGATACATATGTGTTAAATTCAGCGACAATACTAAGTGTACTTTTTTCTTTCATTCAAGGCAACAGAATATTAGGAATGGGAAAGGCATGGAAACTGACATGGAAATAACATATGCAGTTGTAAAGGAAATATTTTCTGCAATGTGAAAGAAAACGAACGCGACAAAATTGCAATAATAATACACTTACGAGCACACTGCCTTTACAGTTAGGTCGAAATCGTCGGGTAATCCAATGTGTTTTGGTTTTTGTATTAAATTCTAGAATTTGCTATTTAAATTCTAGAACTTGCTATTTATATAATCTAAGCTCTTAAGTTTGCGTCTGGTATTAACAGCATTTTTAAAGGATTTTGTAATTTTATTATTACATGAAAAAGGAAGCCATCTGCAAAACGCTGCAAGTAAATGTTTTCGTCTGGCATTATTGTTAAAAGAAAACTAACGATAATTTTAACATTTCCGTGTCACTCATGCACTTCATTGAACGAAAACAAAAGCCGTATATGGAAATTATTTTGATTAATTGATAGATGGCGTTAACGTTGCATGTTAACGCGACGCGACGTGCCTTTTGAATTTCCATACACTCTCCACCGGCAGTTCGATAGATGGATGTTGATACTTCGCACGCTGTTTGATTAGGAACACTTCGGTTCCTATTTGATTTCGATTTTCTATTATGAAAGCATATAGATTTGTTTGTCAACTGAACCACCATGTTTTGATCTATGATCTGTAAATATTGTACATATTAAAAGTTACATTTTAAAAGTGATTGATGTCGATTTATAGATCTTAGAATATTTTGAAACACCGTAAGAAATCCTCTAAACTTAAACACCCCCAGAGAAAATGATGTCATCGGAAAATATGTCCAATCACAAGCATCGATTTTTTCCTATGCGTGTGGCACGGTACAGAATGCTTATATGGCCGCCGGGACTCGAACTACGGACCTCTCGAATACGCGTTGAGAGTGCTGACCACTACACTACGAAGGTATGTTAAGAAGGCGGAAGAAACAGCTTATATCTCCTTTTCCGATTAATAAAGTTGCTTTCTATAAGCTTAGTTTTCATTCTTTTCATTTAATAGCGAGATTAAATATTTTAGATAATGCATTACGTGTTTTTCAGATAATATATTACATTTGTTACGTGTTTGTTTCAAAATGTATTCCTGAGAGAAATTTACGAAAATCGTACATAAGTAGATTAAAAAAGGCAAAAACTGTTCTATGAAAATATACCTGTGACTTTTATTTGTTCTTTTGTAATATATTTTTTATGTGTTAGCAAAAGTGTTGCTAGTGGCAGTATTTAACACAAACGAATTGCGGAATTTTCTTGTAGAAATGTACAGGCCTTTTTATAGAATGTTTATAGAATGTTCTTCGCGAGTTATATGACAGTGTAGTATCTGTAGTAAACATTGACACTGCAGTATCTAACGTTCTTCAGCACATTATAGAACTGTAATTAATTATAGAACTGTAATTAATTATAGAACTGCATGTATAGAAGTGATTTTAAGAATGTCTCAGTAGAACTATCTTTATACGTTACATCGTTATATAAAAGTGCTACTGACACTTGTATTGTACGAGCTATTGCCAATTTTAGAAATGTAACATAAAAACGGGATTTAAAACGTTTTCTTGACGTGCTCGAGAAACACTTGCATTGAAACGTCTTTGAGCGTTGCAGTGCTAGCTGGGTAATGTCCGTCGATAAAAAAAAAAAAATAAAATGAAGATCGGAGTAGTTGCAGATAGTTGAGGTAAACAGTATAGTAGTTAGGTAGATAGTACAATAGTTGAAGTAGATCGCACAAGATCGTTAGGTTTCTAAAATGGACCATGCAATGGAAATTCATATAGCATTAAGAAATGGGCAAATACAAGATACAAAAATAGGTTAATGTTCTAACAATTTAAAAATTAAAACAAAATAATATATTGTTTTACTTTTATAACCATCAGAATTACGTGCTGATTAAAGTATCAATTAACGGTTGCAGGTACAGTAAACTAACGCTAAATAATATGCGTTACATTTTCTGATTCGTTTGGTTTGGTTTGACTGATTATGGCAAAACATACTAGGGTTATCTGCCTAAGAGATGGATTGCCTTCGTGGAGAACTTTCAAAGGGAATCTGGCTCGGATACATGTTATGTATATGAAACCACAAAAATGCTCATGTAGCCAGCAGCCCTTTCGCTTAAAATCGATCGCAGGTTGGAATCAGAATTCAAAGATTTTACCATTCGGCCGCTGGAGGGACTGAATTTTTTTGATTCATCATAACAGAGAAGTAACATTAAATATCATTAACAGAGAACACTTCCATTCTGGAAGAAGTATCACCATCTTTGGAGAATATCTTTTTATAATGTTTTTTATTTCTACGCTCTGATGCTCCCCCCCCCCAAATTTTTT